TCCTACTGAAGGACTTGAAGACGGACGTGTCTTTACGTTGCATATCCGTGTTCCAGTCTCCAATAATAATTGTCTCTACATCCCCCACATCAGCCAAACACCCATCTAATGTATCATAAAAGTCACTCTGTTCCGGTGGTCTATAGATTGTCCCGACTATTACAGATTTAGCATTGTCAAAAAGAATTTCAACCCACACAGATTCAATATTTTCATGATGCAGGTCAGTACGGTTTTTGAAATTGGTGTCTTTATGTATGTACATGCAGACACCACCTCCATTCACGTTCCTGTCCCTTCTCACTACAAGATAATCTTCAATTTCAATCTCTGAATCTGTAATGGAATTGTCCAATTTGGTCTCAGAAAAGCCTAATATGCTTGCTTTACCGTTCATGAATAGCTGCCTGAGTTCAGCCAGTTTGTGTCTCAGGCTGTTAGTGTTCAGATGAAAAATATGTAGTCCATTTTTGTTGCTTAAATGCACAATGTCGTCAGCTTGCAGATATTTGTCTTTGTCCGTTACAGCAACCGGCTTGCGGCCTGCCGTGGTGTTTGGAGCAGTGGGGTGGTGGTGGGGGGGAGGGAGGCTCCGTTGTAGCTTTAGCCGTTGATATGCTAGCAGGGTGGCTAACAACATGGCTAACAACATGGCGGATATTTGTTCCCTCGGATCTCGGTTCTCTTCCTCTCGTCACTGCCTCATGCGTGTCTGTCTGCCGAGGCGTCCCCGGGGGAATGTCGAAGTCTCCGTTTATTCCTCGGTCTCCAAGGTCTCTGTTGTCGTCGCGTAGTTGTTGCTGCAGCAGAAGAGATGCTAGTTGTGATGCTAGCTCCTCGAGCATGCAGGACTGGCTTCTTGTCTGCACCGGGCCCGGATTCAGATGGATGTCTCCCGCTAACAATAAGACCAAGACGATCATACTTCTTCGGTCTAGTTTGCCTGACGGGGGTAAGTACTTTCACGTGGGGTTTGCAGTTAATAATGCATGAATGCTTGCACTTCCAAAAGCGAGGTGTTTCCTTTCCCAGCCGTTGAGAAGGTAAAAGTCATTGTGGTTCATTTTATCCCCGCTTTCATTACTCTCCTTCTCTAAGTGATGTTGCCTCATTGATGAGTTGAGGTAGGAGTCCATAATCCATATTGTCAGGAGGATGAAATATGTAAAAAATCGTGAGGAATAACCTCCAAAGCGGGAGCTCTCGGAAATGCGACCACTCATAGCGAAACCGGATGCGGAAAACCCTTCTGATCAGTATGACAGATGAACAGATCGCCACTGGGCTTACAACTAAAGACACAGCCACGCAAAAACTGCGGCATGTGTACGGCTCCTATTGGGTACTGCAATTTTTGGAAGTGCCGGAGCGGAGCTGCGTTCTGGTGCTCCCCGTCAGAACTACACCCATGTCAGACGAGACATATACCACGTGATGACACGTTAGGCTTGTGTTGTGTTCAAGGACCCTAACCTTGGCCAGGAAAAACAAGACACTCACTTGTTTAATTATTTTGCGGTCTAGATTTCTTTAATTTTTTTCTTTTTTGCGTGTGTTTATAAATTACCTCGAGGGCCACACCAAATGGTCTCGCGGGCCGTATACGGCCCGGGGGCCGGAGGTTCCCCACCCCTGCATTAGACTATGTATCAGTGGCAGTGGCGAGCCGTCAGGGCCCTCTAGGCCCTCTGTGAGGGCCTAAGATATTCTAAAAAATAATATTTGAAAACATAAACAAAAAAACATTTTTTTAAATATATTTTTTTAAATATTTTGTTGTTGTTACATTTTTCATTAGTTTTACCAAAATAACTTGATTTAATTGTATTTAAAATAATATTTCCAAAGAAATAAATCCTTCGAATCTGCCTGTTCAGTTTCTGTTGGAATGTGAAGGGTTAAATGCCGTCTCTGCGAGTTATGTGAAGACGGGAGAGCTTGTTGGTCCCTCTCTACATTCACAGAGGGCCCGCTATAGTAACTCAATGAGAGAGTAATGTCAAATGACAGTACAATTGACCAATCATATCTTCCCTCTAAATGGGCGGGCTTTATTTTCGCGGACTTTATGACAAGTTCCGCCCGCTGTGATGTCTATGCAAGTGGTGCAGTGACGCGTCCTAAAACCCGGAAGTAAGCTGCGCTCGGATTCCCTCGACAGAAAGCAGTGGGATTTCTCCATAGGATTTTGGAAGATAGCTCGAAATAAGGTCTGTGGGAAACGAACCTGTTAGATAAATGCACGTTTTGTTCAGCCGGATAATATCCACATGTCTACCCTACTTTTATTATTTTCGAATCATAAATCTAAACGATAGATTTATGATCGATAGATTTATGATTAGCATAAATTCGTTCATGATGGCTCACTTCAGTGATAGTGATGACATCGTTCCGAAATTATTAACCGAGTCATTTTCAAGATTGAGTTACAATGATAAACTGTAGTGGCAAAGGATCAGCTGCATGACCCCGCCATCAAGTGCTTCATCCAAAAGGACAGGAGGATGGACTTTGTGTTTAAGTGATTTGATCATCAAGTCATTTTCAATGTGGGCCGCGGTGCCGTCTTAATTCATTTGCAATTGTTACTTGGCTGTGGGAGCCCTGTCATGATAGGTGTTTATATAAATGGTGTTGTTTTGTGTGGTAGAGGGTCGCTGTCATTGATGCGTTTTGCACCCCGGACCGCTGTTTTGATATTCCGCTGAAGTATAAACTGTGACGTAATATCTCTTCTTTTTTTTCGAGGGAAGGGGGGTCAGCGGGCCTAGGTATAAAAGTCACGGCTCGCCACTGTGGTGAAATGTAAAAGTGCATTTTCTCAAGTACTGTACTTTGAGGTACTTTACTTGAGTATTTTCTTTATATTACTTCAATAAAACTTTGTATTTACTACGTTTATTTTACGCCAAATAAAGATAGGCTATTGCATAAAAATCACAGAAGTTAAATAATAATATATAATATTGTGTTTTAAATTAAACAGCAAACAGTTTATAAAAGAACAGCTATTTTTGTATAATTTTTTATTTAGATTTTTCTGTATTGGGTACATTTCATATTTTAACTACATTTTACTGAGTATACGATAAAGGTAATTTACATATAACAATATTTGACAGTTAGTTATTATATTAACTTCGGAATACTTCTTCCACCAGTGCTATCAATTAACACATTGTGGTGACCACCTATTTAACCACTGGGACATAATTCAAACTTGGAACTACAGTTGCGGTTATTGTTCCCACACGGACATGTTATGGGTTACCTATAAATAGTGTGTGCCCTCTTGTCGACCCGGGCTGCGACCCGACAACATGTCCTTTACAGCTTGTGAATAAATTACTATTCTTGCACCTTCCTTGCACCGCCTCTGACTCCATATCTCTCGGCACTACACTGGTGACCCTGATACGTCTTGAGAAGTTTCCGGGACGGAGCCGAACACGGCAAAAGGAACTCGAGTTCCTTTCTCGAAATGCCGGGGTTTGATTGGAGACGTCCGTGGCTGCCACCGGCACGCGGACTGAGGCTTGGTGCGCGCTCCGCAGAAGGCTGGAGACGTTGCTCGCCGTTCCCGCATCGGCTTTCTATCCAACGGGGGGACGATGCACGACCTGCTGGGTCGACCAGCAACCCCATTGCTACCTCGTGGGTTTGTTCTTCGGGGCGTGTGGCTGCACGTCCCGGCTGCTAACCACGTGGGGCTAACGACGGCTGCCAGCTACCGGCTAACCACGTGGGGCTAACGACGGCTAGTGCTAACGGCTATCAGCCCTTTTGAGTTTTGTTTTTTTCTGGTTCCGGAGAGGATGTTCGACCAGCCGGTTGACCTCATGTGGACACTCTCACCTTTTTCAGACGCCACTCACGTTTTCATCGACGCCTGGGTGGTGCACTCCTGGACCCCGTCTCGCCTCGACGGTTTTGGACGTCGCCCATGCTGCCATCGGCCCGTGGGTGGTGCGCTCCGGAGCCTGTCTGGCCTCTCCTGCCTTCCGGGGATATCCAGACGCCACTCACGTTCATCGGCGCCTGGGTGGCGCACTCCTGGACCCCCTCTCGTCTCGACAGTTCCGGACGTCGCCCATGCTCCATCGGCCCATGGGTGGCGCGCTCCGGGACCCTGTCTGGCCTCTCCTGCTTCCCGGGGATGCCTCAGCGCCTGCTGAGGACTTCATGCCCGCCGCCGCGGCACGTCTGCCTGCGGCCGGGTTGCTCTCCTGCTTCCCGGGGATACCTCGACACCTGCCGAGGACTTCGTGCCCGCCGCCGTTGCACGTCTGCCTGCGGCCGGGTTGCGCTCCTTCCTCCCGGGGGGACTGCTCCTCTCTTCCGGGGATACCTCGACGCCTGCCGAGGACTTCGTGCCCGCCGCCGTTGTGCGTCTGCCTGCGGCCGGGTTGCGCTCTTTCCTGCTGGGTTCTCCGCGACACCTACTGCGGCCCCCTTACGACGGCCCGCCCCCGGTGTGGGTGCCCTCGCCCTCGTTAGGGCCCCTGCCCTCTCCTGCGGCCCCCTTTCGTGGCCCGTTCCATGGCCCGGTCCTCACCTGCGGCCCCACCCTCCTCGGCACTTGTGGTGCTTCCTCCACGGACGTGGGGATATATATTTTTTTGCCATTGGGGGGCTTGTGTGGTGACCACCTATTTAACCACTGGGACATAATTCAAACTTGGAACTACAGTTGCGGTTATTGTTCCCACACGGACATGTTATGGGTTACCTATAAATAGTGTGTGCCCTCTTGGCTCTCTCTTGTCGACCCGGGCTGCGACCCGACAACATGTCCTTTACAGCTTGTGAATAAATTACTATTCTTGCACCTTCCTTGCACCACCTCTCGGCACTACAACATTGAATATATATTAACACATTGAATATATTTATTTTTCCTTTTATCATATTTTTTGTTGCCACACATTCAGGCTAAATTATTATTTTCACTGTTATCTGAGAATACTTATTGTCCCCACGCTCCTCTGCTCTTGCAGGTGTGTTGTTCAGCGTGGAGGTGATGTGTTCTCACTTCGCCCTGAGGCATTACTACCCGTGTTTCTTCTCCGCCGCCTGTGGGGCGCTGACCTTCCGCCTATTCTCCGTGTGGAGTGGAGATGAAGGTAATGGACTTATGGAGGCTGTGATCAGCACTCGCCCCCTCAGTGAGAAGCTTCACTGACGACTTGACCTGAGGAAAAGAAGCCACAATAACATAACATGACCTTGGTTAAACGTTTGTTATCAGCTGATACTCAATACAAAACCCTGGATAAACTCCAGTCTTGAAATACACGTTATCTCAACATATTAGCACAGATAATTATTTAAAAAGCAACAAATGTAACTTACACAACATTGAGGTGTTGTCTGGACTGGTACCATGTACTAATAAACTGAGCTAGCTTACTGAGCTAACCAAGCTAATTTACCTCTACTAATTCACTGTGCCTTACAATTACAGCTAGCTAATTAGCTACGGCTATGTATTATGTTAATAACTAAGTATTGTATTACCATTGGAAGCTATGTTTATAGGTTTATACATGGAACTTTAGGCAAACTACACGTTTGTAAGTCTAATATTACATTACATTATGAAGGTGGTCACTGCACCGAAAGCGAAATTTCACTAAGCGGACTCTACCACTCAATCAAGCGACAATCCTAACAAAATAACTCTGGTTAATTTTGTATCTGTACATGTTTGCCAATAAGCATGGTTAAATTAAAAAGCAACATTTCTTTCTCCCATTAGTCCCATTTGAGGGAAGCTAACACAATACTTTTTTTTCAGAGTTTAATGTTGTGCTTTGGTAATGTTGTCTAGTCAGTGATGTTGTCAGTGATCTAATTAATTGTCATTATAATGAGTGGAAACATTAGCTTTGGCAAAATCAGCAAAACACTTAAGCTGACAGCCCATGAATTTCAATAAAAATCTCAATGCAATAAAGAGAGGGAAGATTACATTTGGAAGAGATTGGAGGGATGATTTCAATTTGTTTCTTTGTCCACAGAGAGTCCTCAGGCATTGTTTTAAAACGAATTTCCCCGCTGCTGTTCCCTTCTACTCGCTGGAGATTCTACTATTTGCCTTTCTTGGGTGAGTTTACTTTCGAGAGCATCTCAATATTTAAACAAGTCCTATGTTTGTCCGTGTCTCACACATATAAATTGATATTTGGCATCCTTATTTACATCACACATCATCAAAATGATTTGACTGGTTCTGCTGTGTTTCTTCCGAGTCTAATCAGCATTAAGTACTTATTTTCTGTTACCAATCATTTCCGGGCTTCCCCCTCATCAAGTCCAAGTCTAATGACTTCCGATAGTGACTTGCTGCCTGGGTTACAATAAGCCTCTTGTGTCCCGCTGAGTCTGCTTTCTGTCCCAGGCTGCTGTGTGGAGCTGTGAGCTGCTGCTACCTCGCCTGCCATCGGTGGATGCTGCAATTCACTAAAACAAACCCAATGTTCAACAAGATGCTGACCACAGAGTAAGAGCTTTTTTATAGTAATTAGCTATTTAAGCGATTTGATTGGCCAGTGTCCCAGAAGCACAGTTTGTTTTGTAGCAAAAATCTGACTGCTTTACAACCCAAATCCATTCACCATCTGTTATGCAACTGTATAAACAACTTTATAAGGCTTGATGATAAATGACAGGGCCTTTCAAGCCACATTTAAAAGGTTTACCTAGTGATTTTATCCATACTATTTAAATAGTGTAAAACACTGAAACCTTTCAAAGCATAGATCTGAAGATAAACAGAGCTGGTTAGCAATGTTGTTTTCTGCTGTCACCACACCGAGCAGTTTGCCAATCAAAACGTCTCGACTAAAATCCTCAACTCGTGACGAATTCACTTTGGAAGAGAGTAAGAATAAACATTGTGGAAGGCCAAGTATTTTCTGAATAGTTTCCCCTCCTGAAATACAATGTTTCGCAAGGTCGATCAGGTTCCTTATTTATTACATTTCTTATCTGTGAAAACAGGTGAACAAAATGTTTTAGTAAGATTAATTTCTGCCACAAAAGACTGAAGTTGTAGGGTTTTATCATCTCACTCTACATTTCCTATATTTTTACTAAATGTTATCGTTTGAAAGCTTTTCTTCATGAACGTGCTATGTAACCTTGTTAAAATGTATATTATATAGATAAAGTGTTTAAATATGATTGTGCATCACTACCCTGTGCTCAATAATTAATATGTTAGCAACCTGCTAAAAAGCAGTGCATTTCTGCCTCTTGTGGCCAAAATGAGTATTACAAAAACAAACAGGAAAAATGATCCTAACAACATGCACATTTTTAGTTTTTTGTTAACATGATTTATAAACAAATCAGACAGAGAATATGTATTATTACTTCCCCCTTATAGGGCTTCCATAATGACCTAAATGAATGCAACATTACAACAATAATCCCTGAATATGAACATGTCTCTGCAGGAAGGGTCTATACTCAGGCATGGTGGCTTTCCTCCTGGCATCTCTGACATTCCCCCACTCTGTTGGTCAATATATGGCTTCTAAGGTAGGAAACAACAACATTCATAAAGGCTCAGTTCACCATTTGTGTACATGTACACACAAAATCAATGAATACTATGCTATAGGATGTGTGGTGTGTTTCTCCACTGATCATCATTAAACACATGACTAATAAACAGCATTTACTGGGAAAGGTAGCTGATAAGGCTGGAGTTATTGTAGTTTGTTCTTATTGATAACAAATCCCACAAAAAGACCAACACTTTATGCGCCTTAGAGGTCAATTGTTCAAAAACTGTGAAAACACATCACTGAGCCACACTGTTGCACCAGGTGTCAGGTTTCTTCATTACACTGCAACACTTTATTTTGAGTCAACAGTTCAAACACTCTCCTGCTGCCGTAAATACGTACTAGAACAACAAATGCGTATTAATCCGCATATGAAAATAGTTCACAACAAAGTGTGACATTTGGCCAAAAACGAATTATAATCCAAATAAATTCCCATGAACGAATGGGATAAGGGCCACAGATAGAAAGTGGCATTGAGAGATGGACAAATAAACAATATTGTCTTTTGAAAATGCGAGGTTAGTCCTTTAATGTTTACCTTTTGTTTCATTCGAGGGTGTTGTGCGTTCACACATTAATCTGAAGGGCAGTAATCTGTTTCCAGCACACCATGAAGCAGCTCCTGACCTCCTTACTGGACAGCAGGCAGTGGAGCTCTCAATCCCACAATGCATCTCTTCACCTGGGGCCTGAGGCTTTGTTGGAGTGGAGCTCGTCAGGGAGTCCTGTCTTCCTACCTCTGGCTGTCTTTCTGCTAATGAAGGTACTTACAATGGGAAAACCATTCAAGGTGTCTTTATCTCAGTCTACCATGTGCTGATCAACAGGAGTCGTGACGAGACACAGTGACCCCTAATTGACATACACTAATTGACATTTTCACAGTAGAGCGAGCTAAAGACCGTTTACCCTTTCAGGATGGAAATGCCTTCTGATATGTGATGCTAACTCATAACAACACTGCAGGTGGCAGCTAGAAATCTCAGTAGCCGACCAAGTAATGGCCAAATCATCGGTATTGATCAAGAACCCAGACCAACCAAACATCTATTTTTCTCAATTTGTGCTCAAAACTAGAAAATAAATGCCTTTCTTTTATTCTTATACCGTAGTTGGGTCCATTTACTATAACAACCAGACAAAGACACCCAATAGCATCAGGCTTTTGTCTTTACAAGGGTACAACTGGCATTCATTTCTCAGACGAATCACCGCACAGTAGTCACAGTTTATAAAAGCTCAAGCTTCATTGATCAGTGACATGACACCAGGGTTGACTTTCACATTGTCGCCCCTTATTCTGTGAAATGCTATGACACGCATTAAAGGCATATGTGTTAATAGATATTTTAAAAAATCGACAGGGATTAGGACAATTATCATAATGTATTAATTTACAAAGCATAACATTGTCAAGCTCTCCACATAGCCAACAGACTCCATTGACAAAAACAATCATTTTACCTTGAAAAAACACACAAATTAAAGCTAATTGAAACTGTCTTTGTTATTCTTTCAAGAATCATCAACTGTGGTTTGAGAGTTTGATAGAGACTGAATAAGTATTTTAAAAAGTGTATATTTTGTATGATACGGTTGCTTTCCATGATAAGCAACCGTCTAACAGAGGTGGGAAGTAGTGGACTACACATACTTTGTACATTTTTCTGGTATCAGTACTTTACTCCACTACTTATTTTTCTGACGAATTTTTACTTTTACTTATTACATTTTTAACACAAATACCTGTACTTTCTACTTCTTACATTTTCAAAACAGGCTTGTTACTTTAGTTTTAATCTGCGTTTGGTGGTGTGATCATTATTATTTAGAGTCATTGCGTGCCTATTGATTTTAACACGATCCGTGTATCCATCATTTCCTGGTCTTCTCTAAACAAGAGGGACCAATGAGAATGGCGGACGTTAGGGAGGAAGCGTAAAACGGGTGATGAAGTTGGCGACAATACTGAGAGCAGCGGAGATATTAATCTCCCTCACCCATGACCATACAGTATATGAGGGTGATGTTCGAAATGAACGGCATCAAAAGCGATTCCTGGCGATGTGTGGTTCAGGAAACTATTGTTACGCTGATGTTTTCAGCTATAATGTTACTTCACAAACACAATTATAACTCACTTAACTTTTAAAGCATTACGGTAATTGTTCTGTTGTTTCCAAGGAAGAGGTAGAGTCACCCTAGAATCTACAATGTAGGCGTTTATTTCCCCACTTTGTTTTTCTTTGCTTGTGTTCTAAATGGTTGTTGTTCAGTGTTGAAACATTCATTAGCTAACAATGACATAATTACAATTTGAAATAAAATATCTTCAATGTTTAATATAAAGTGAGGTCCAGTTACCAGTTGAAACAGCTGGTAGTTATGGGTATTTTTTACATTTCGAAGCCCATACTTTTTTACTTTTACTTGAGTAAAGAAGTTTAGTCAGTACTTCTACTTTTACCAGAGTATTTTTAAACACGAGTGTCTGTACTTCTACTTGAGTAAAGGATGTGTGTACTTTTGCCATCTCTGGCAACGGGAAAGAAGTCTACTGCCTGATTGAGCGGGTAATCTTGTGTAACAAACTGCATTACACCTTCATTTTGGTGGAAAAAGGGTATAAGTGGACATTCCTCTATTGAAAACAGTCCCTTATTTCTCATTGGGATCCATTTACTTACAATTTTACCCTGATTACCAGACGCAGATGTGACATTTAAATGGGAATGATTCAGTTTATTTGTGCGAGATTGATTTGAGAGCACTGAAAACATTTCCTTGCACACAGATTGAGAGTGGCAGTGACTCATCAGCTGTGCTAGTAGAGCTTGTGTGGCAGTGTGGCGAGGAGAGAGTTGACAGTGTGTGTCTCTGTTGTTGTTTCCGAGATGTGGATGTTAGTCCTTGCCTGCACCCTGCCTCTGCCAGCTGGATACTTCATGCCAGTGTTTGTCTACGGTGAGTGAAGGGAGGAGTTTATTTGAATATGTCTTGCTGAAGTCTCTCCCCAGAATTTGAAAACCCTGCAGTAAAATATGAAGATTGAGGAACTCTTCTTTTGTGTTTTTTATATTTACGTTTCTGTTCTCTAGGGGCGGCTTTGGGTCGTTTTCTTGGAGAAGGAGTAGCTTATGTGTCTTCCACTGGATTGAATTCAGGCCTGCAGTGGGCTTCTATAAATCCTGGCGGTTACGCACTTGCTGGTAAAAAAAAAATCAATAGCTCTTTGTTGTTCATACAGTGACCTATATATCAGCAGAGATGGGGTCGTTACTCAAAAAAAGTAATATATGACTTATTACTACGGTGGCCCTGAAGTGCAAGACACCACAGCATTTCAGAAAACACTACAGCATTTCACAAAACACTACAGCATTTCAGAAAACGCCGCAGCATTTCACAAAACGCCACAGCATTTCAGAAAGGGTATTCCGTGAACACCTGCTGTAGCCGCTCCGTCCACACTCACAACAACGTCATACAGACATACATAAAGCAGCGACTGTATTCACCATGACATAGGCAGTCTGTGTTTTGTACATGTTTAACTTTTGTCCAGTTTCTGAACAGATATGAGGAGCTGTGAGCTCTGAGTGTGTGCTAACAGCTAACGGCTGATGTGTTGGGACATGTTGCGCTGTCGGGTGCTGACCAATCACGAAGCGTCATTTCTTAACTGGCAGCAAAAACAACCAATCACAGCAGTGCTTATCTGGCTGGCTCTGTCCAATCACAAACAAGAAGTGTTCTCCCTAAAGGAATACCCTTTCCGTCCAATGTGAAATGCTGTGGTGTTTTCTGAAAGCTGTAACGTTTTCTGAAATGCTGTGTTGTTTTCTGAAATGCTATAGTGTTTTCTGAAATGCTGTAGTGTCTTGCACTTCAGGGCCCCCGTAGTATTCCTTTAAAAAAAAGTAACATATTACTTTACTTTGTTACTCTCTACATAAACACTTTACTTTACTCATTACTTTACTCGCAGGGCCACCCCTCCCTACAAGCAGATCACGCAGACTGCGGAGGGTGCGTTACATTACTCCGTTACCGACAAAAGTAATATTATTACAGTAACGCGTTACACCCAACTCTGTATATCAGCACTGTGTATCTCCCTCTTTCATTCTACCCTGACCCTGGGTTACATTAGCATTTATAAGCCACGTCCTATTTCTACAACAAATATGCCAGAAGCTTTGAACTTGTTTTTTAATTTAACTATTTGTTCATTTAGATGTTAACAGATTCCAGAAAGCAATCAGGGTTTCAAATGAGGATGTTAGAAATGGTGATCTGCCAAAATATTGCATTAGATTTAAGTTACAAAAAGAGTCCCAAAACCAACTGTATTCTGTCCAATGATGTCTCGCTATGAAGTATTTGAATAATAAAGTGGCACAGATATAACAATTGTATGAAAGTGCAAGTTCAGTTCAAATACTTTTTTTTCTCATCCGTCTACAATAACGAGTATATCGCCTCAAGTAGTACCTTTAACCTGGTTTCTTCTTGTAGGTGCAGCAGCCTTCTCCGGGGCCGTGACACACACCCTGTCCCCGGCCCTCCTGGCTGTAGAGCTAACGGGACAGTTCAGCCATGCCGTCCCCGTCCTCATTGCCACTCTGCTGGCCAACGCACTGGCCCGCTCGGGGCATCGGCCATCTTTCTATGATGCACTTTCCATCAGCAAGAGGCTCCCATACCTGCCCTCCCTGAAAAAGGCATGCCCCCGGTTAGTTAAAAAAACTAAACTTAGACTGGTTTAAGAAAAAACTAGTTTTGTATGACCATCAGATGGGAAAACTGTGCATCCAAGGCTGGCAGTTTGTTTTAAAATGCACAGATATTGTTTGTTTCCAAAGAATATGGAAAATTGTGAATAATGTCTTGGAAAACCTACATGATCAAATATATACGTTCACGATATTTAGAAGCTTTCGGGATGAAAATGTTGTTTAAGACAAAATTATTTCAACAAAAGTTAGCTGGATGCCTCCTATTTAGCAAAGGAAGATAGCTGAAGATACTTTCTAAAGACTCTGATTATTCCCTGACTAGTAAGGGCCATCAATGGTAGGCAGTGTTTTAATATGCACAAAACTAAAAACAACAACAACCATGAGTATACATGACTGCTGAGCTGACTCCTAACTGCTCTTAAACAGCTGGTAGGGTCAGTAGTGATCATTAACTGGTCAGTGTTAGAAAACACATTTTCTGCTATCAGCTATGCTAAAAACAAACACTTGCCTGTTGTTTGCAGGCTGCATGTTGACCTTAGCTGTAACTCAAATACTGATATCATTGAACTATTCTGGTCTTTATTTCAAACAAAAGTATCTCAATATGACAACTGATGAAAAAATCCCCAGTTTTTCTTATCTACGCTGCCATCTTGAATGTAAAGGAGCCTGGAGGGACAATTGAGTCGACTCCTTCTTTGCTGTTGTCCAGGAGACTAATGGAGATCTGGACTCTACTGAGGGTTCTTTTCTAGTATTAGATTTCCTCCTTCTGCAATGATTAAATATTACTTTAAAGCCCTAAATGAAAGTATAAATAAGGAGTCAACTCATTTCCATTGTGAAAGTTCGGTAGGCTACATGGCTTATGTGGGAAATGTATTCAAACTTAGAGATTCTTTTCAAACAGTAATCGTCTGGGTGATGTCAAAAGAATGCAAATTAGTTCAACGTGTGCTTTGAACATGATACATGTCAGCATGCCGCCTTGGTGATAGCAATCAGCAGCCCCACTGACGCTTTTCCTTCTTCATCTGTCTCTCACGCAGATTGAGTTTCAGCCCCTAATAATATGCTTGGATAGAAATCAAGTCGTCATCACCCACAGCTTTTTGTCGACAGCATTCAGGCGGAGGCGGCAAACTAGACTCTCAGGCACAACTTAAATATGTTTTTCCAGAGTCTAAAGTTATAATTCTGAATGTGTTGACATGAGTGTCATAATAATTTGTACCTGGGCGCAAACTTGTCAGATGCTCTTTTGTCACCACCATCTTTACATTTAAACACAGCCGCTTTTTTTTATTCCAAGAGTGACATGATTATTTTGTTTGCAGGCTTCCCTCCACACCAGTGGGACAGGTTTTAGGAGCGATATTAGTGAAGCTTCAGAAAGCTGCTGGGCCGGTGGAGGTCAAGCTGGCTGTCAACACCAGCACCGACTCACAAATCCCAGTGGTGGACTCACATGGTGAGCAGACAGAATTGTATAGTATTTTACCCCCAATTTTCTTGCCAAGAAGTCATATTTTGTTTACATTTTCCAAGAAAGAGTATAACATATATTTGAGGGTGTGGAAAATTGGCACAAAGTCCTCAGGATCCTAAAGGAAATGTCAGGCATCTATGATACCGAATAGAGTTTTTGAAAGGATTGCTGAACAATTGTAAGCGTTTCAAAAGCTGTAGCAATTCAGCCGTGTGAAAGTGTTCAATAAGGAGCCGACAAGTGTGAAAAAAGTGTCAGTTGGCCAGCTGAGCCGCAATCACATGAACACATTTTCATGTTTGTAACAAAGGATTCACAGCCTGCTAGAGAGCGGCACACATTTTAAACTGTAGCAGACTGTGGCAAATAAATTGATTCTCTCTCCTTTCTTCTGTTGAAGAGTCGCAGATTATTCTGGGATTTGTTCTTCGTGCAGAGCTGCTGATGTTCCTGCGTCACTGCGAGAGCGAGGTAAAAGGCTGCAAGGAGTAAGACAGGTAGCTGCAGGGTTCAGAACCAAGGCAGAGGAGTGAACTGTGTGATGCTGTTTAAAATGCAGGCCATGATTTCTACAATCCAGTTGGCATCGACTGAATGTCAAACAAGGATGAGAGCAGAATGTGCAGACAGGACTGCTGGCTGACGTAAAAGCTCATTTCATGAAAGTACATCCATTTTAGAGCATAATGTAGAAAAATTGAGCTGTTTATCAGAGTGGTTTTAAAGCACATATTGGAGCAATGTCCAACAACAGAGAGAGTAATAAGGTTTTCAGCGACACAACTGTGACTCATCATTTCACAAACAGTAGTGAATGCTGCTGAATGACAAGCATGCATCTGACAGAAACAACACATTCTCACTCCCAACTCGTCACATATTGACCATCGGTCAGGGCCCCTTCACGTCACCTTATTACGCACTGGGTACCCCTCGAGCGTCAGTTTTCAACGGGCAGGGCGTCCCATAGCAACCTGGTCTCACCAAAATACGTGAAATGAACACGACTCCTTAACACCGCATTATGTGGTGGGGACACGGAATCTGCTAAATTACGTGTCGGCACCACGCAAACATCCCCAATGCAAAGTGAATGAGGATCCTTTTTCGTGGTGGACACACACATTTCTGCAACGTCCCGCAATGATCCTCATTCACTTTACATTGGGGATGTTTCCGTGGTGCCGACACGTAATTTAGCAGATTTCGTGTCCCCACCACGTAATGCGGTGTTAAGGAGTCGTGTTCATTTCACGTAATTTGGTGAGACCAGGTTGCTATGGGACGCCCTGCCCATTGAAAACTGACGCTCGAGGGGTACCCAGTGCGTAATAAGGTGACGTGAAGGGGCCCTGACCGATGGTCAATATGTGACCAGTTGGGAGTGAGAATGTGTTGACAGAAAATGCATACAAATGTCAAATTGTTTGTGTTGTTCTGTGCAGGCTCTGGAGAAACATCTGGATGAGGTCTGCTGCATACACCCGACCTCTGTTCTGTTATCACCTCACAACACTGTTCAAGAGGTAGGAATACTTTGAGGAATGTTATACAATTAAGGAAAAGTTCAGGACTTTGGAAAATAGTCTTATTTGCATTCTCACATTGACTGGACTACCGTGTAAGCCCTATGTTTGGCTACTTGTCCGTCACCATCTTGTTTTGTTTTTTTCGAACCCAAAGTGACCATAATATTTGGACCAGAGGGTGGAGTTGATGAAGAGCGATAAGACAGCTAATTTACTAGATAACACTCACCCTACCTAGCTTGGCTAACAAGGTGCATCCGTGATTTACATTTTTACTGTGATATGAACTGCATTGCTAATTTTGACATGCATAAAACAGGCTTGATACAAAACTATTTCCGGAAAAAAATGATTAGCAGACTACTTAACGCAGGGGTACTCAAATACAAATCTTAAAGGTCCAAAATAAATGTTTCAATAAGACAAAGGTCCGTTTATTACGGTCATTCAAACTTTAAAACAATTGCAACAAGATTCTTAACACGAGGTTGCAAAAACAAAAATAATTTGTATGCAGCAGTTTTCATTGTTGTTGTGTCTGTGCTTGACCCCTCAGAGTCGCAGTGTCAGAGCTGCACAGTTAGGAATAAAGGCAGCTGCACCCTCTTTCATTCAGCATTCCCATTATTGCTTTATAAATGTATTCCCCCTTGTGTGTCCACTGAGGTTCATCAGGCCCAACACATCTTCAACAAACTCCCCCTTTGCCTCATCATAAAAACTCACAAACACCAGCAACTGAGCATTGTCAGTGGTGTCAGTGGACTCACCCACAGCTAAGGAAATGCACTGACTTAAAACAGTTTTTTGGGGGCAGACCCCCTCAAAGAAAAAAATATATTTACACACGTAAGGTCATCATCTTAATAGTTGTGTATGCTCATCCGTGAGCAGAGCATCAAGTTGACATGTCTATTACAGCTGAATGCGGCGATTACCATTTTGTTCAGCAAAACGCCTCACAAACGTATTAAGATCAACAGCTTTAGTGCGTTTTGATTCAATGCTTAGCACAGCCAAACTGACAGTCTCTTCTCTGTCAGTGTAGACCGCAAATACCTCATTCCTTCAGTGCTTGGGTCCGAATGCTTCTCGTTTTGCGCCGTCCAGTTCAAAATGAAATCGCCGCCAATCGTATATCCACGCTCGCGCCAGGACCGGGGGAGGGGTTACATGACGTGCATCTTGTGCTGCATTCACTTGCACTCGGACATTAGAGACTTTCTCTCATAAATGTCCGATGAGCCACAACATTTCTTTCAAAACAAAGCTGCCAACTGGGGTGGCAGCTGGGGTGGCAAGGCCTATTTGTAGGGTGTCAGTTGCCACCCCGGTAGGTGAAACTAGGCTACTAGCTACAGTACAGATGGAACTAGATGAGCTGTTAACTCTCGCTCTGAATTTTTTTTTTTTTAATTCTCGCTCTGACTTAGACAGGTTGAAAGAGACACACACATTTTTCCCACCCGCATTCCGCGAAGACCCGCCCTACTGTGCCTCTGATTCGCAGATTGTTTGGGGGAAAAAAACGCTGACTGGATGCTGAATGTGATTGGACCAAAGCGTTGACACACACAGGTGGAACACAGTGGAACAGTCAGACATGCAGAGCGCTGATTGCAGTGGACATAGCGGAGAATTTTGACTCGTTGCGAATGCGTTGTGGCGATGTCTCACATATAATACAGAGAGATAATACATATGAAAAGTATAATTTGCTCGGAGTCCGGAGACAGTGGTGGTTCGGTCCGGATCCGGACCAGAGTCCGTAGTTTGAGGATGCCTGACTTAACGTATTTTAGTACCTTTTGCTGTAGAACTCTGCCGAAGCAACCTGTCAAAGAAAAGGTAGCCAACCCTAAATAATACCCTACGTTAACGTCTATTTTGCTCTAAATGGGACCATTATTTACAAAACGAACTTATTGCTGTATTGAAGAATACTCTAAACTAAAGATTGAGAAGATAATATAATTAGGAAAGTGTTTACTGAGTTGATAAATTCAGTTGGAACAGTAGGATTTTCTTCTATACAATCAGACTTCTTCTTGCAAACAGAGGTGTCGCCACCTGTTGGCCATTAGAAGGAATGTTAAAAGTACTTCTGAATTGGATTTACTTTTTCAGACTCGCAGGTTGCTGCTTGGTCTCTTGTCATAAATTAGTTGAGCATAGTATGATTCCTTGCCATCAATCTTCTGATTAAACTCTCTGAAAGAAAGTAAATAGGCATATTTCACAAAACAATTACCACTTTTATGGAATCAGTTACTTTAAATAAATGTTCATTTGCATCCCACAGGCCCACAGTATCCTGAGTCTGGTTGGAGCTCAAACCTTGTTTGTCGCAGACAGGGGAAGGCTGCTCGGGCTGATCACCTGGCCAGAGGTAATGATGTAATGTGTGTATTCTGGCTCACAAATGTAAGTAATGACACAAACAGCTTGATTCTGTCACTAGTTGGGATGCAAATTGTAAACAAAACGGTGTCGCTGTATGCATTTGTTAACATTATAGGAGGCATAATGGCTACTTATGGATTCAAAGACTTATTTTCCCTATTTCTTTCTCTGTTTTCTGCTACAGATGAAGAGGATATTAGAAGACTTGGCCAAAGAAATCTAAGCGACACACAAGAAATAAGCTCATCCCTTGAGCTTTTACTTTTAAGTAAACATGAAACCATCTCAGTCTTGATCAGCTGCAATATAAACCTGGCTCTGGTTATGACATCAGTTCTTCAATATCCTAGATTAAAAATATTTGCGACAATCATTACTGAGGAGTAGGCTCAGAGAAAAAAACGTTTATTACAGCTTTCTATCTGGCATTTTATTATATTGCAGGATCTCATGCAGGAGATAGCACAACCTGCACTGTGTGACACTGCAATATTAACAGTGAGCCTAGCCAATTATAATAGTGCTTTTCACACTGTGTGTCACTCTCTAGAATTTACGCCCAGAAGCTAAGGTACCCAAACACAATTAACCCAGGTTAACCTAAACCCAGGGCTATACAATAAAGACTGCATTTTCCTGGGTTTAATGGCAGTTGTAACATGTGATCCTTTTTTAAATTGTAGAATTTTACACCATGTAACCCTGCTGCTGTGCTATTAAGAGACTTTCCCCTCTTCCTTCAGCCCTTGGATTCAATTTATTTCAGTCATGGTTAAACCATACACTCCAGCGCGTGTACCACGCTCTGCATTGGCCAATCGGCTAGCTGCCCCCTCACTGCGAGTGGGACCCAGGAACCCCTGAACAAAAACATGCCTGTATGCTATCCTGGCTCCAAAATAGGAAAAAATCTGTCTTCTGTACGTAACACTGTATGTTCGTATATGAAATATAATGACTTAATAAATCTTTTTGCAGACCTTAGAAACTTTCTTTGAAAAAAGTCAACACATACTGTATTGCCTGGCAACAACAAAATTGTGTTGTGATGCAGGCAGTTCGTTGCACACTCCACCACAATACTTCACAATAAAATGTCTCAAAGGTTTTGAGTCCTAAGTTAAAACTGCCATGTGTTGAATCTTAAAATGCCTAGCGTTGGCGCCCCCTAGTGGCAGCATCAGAAACGTTCCCTGTGATATTGTATACATGAATACACCCCCCCCACCCCCAACAAACTGAACCAGTGAACCAACCCTGAAATGTTCTATCAGAAGAAAATGAATTGCATTATTCTTTTCATAGTGGCTTTGAGGTAACGATATTAAGTGATTTCTCATATTCACATCATGAACAGGACAGTTGCCTTGGTAACAACGTTCCTGCTCAACTTAATCAAATCTTTAGTGCAGTCCAAATGATTTCTAATTGCTTTTCTGGTGTACTCGTCAAAATCAAGGAAAAAATGTGAATACTCATTAACAAAAACATCTTGAGTGTGAAGATAACACTTGTGGTGTCGACTAATGGCTAAAAACATCAAATAAGATGTGAAAGAGGAAATCAAGTATCCATAAAGTTTTCTTTAAATGATAATCTTTGAGTTTTTCCAACGAGGAAAAAATATCAGCCATTACATCATAATTTTTCCCAAGATAAACGTATTTTTTAATGACCGATCCAATGTTCTGATTAATGTCCCGGAAATTGTGTAAACCCATGCTAAAAGAAAAACCATGACCAGTGACGCCGACACCTCCATTATCCCACCATCCCGCACTGTCAAATACTCAGCCAAGCTGCCTGATGTAAAGCTGAAAAACACACCGACCACACGCACTCTGATTCGGTTTCATCTCCCTTTGCGATTCTCTACACTCGTCTTTTCTCCACACCAATTCACCCATCGCTCTCAGACAGAAACATATTTGTAATATCTAATCATAGGGGGTATGGTCCAAGATAATGGACTTTTCTCAAGATAAAAATGTTAAACCTGAAAGACGACACACTTTCACTTTCTTTCATATCTGCTTTAGTTTGGACTTGTGTTTGATTCTTCAATGGGAAGAAAAATAAGCACTGGACAGTTCGTATATTAAAATCGATGTTTATTAGCAAGATATTTAACACCAGTATCTTTTGACTCTTCACAGTTCAGTTCTACCTATAATATGAAAGTGTTTAATGTACACTGGATACAAAATTAAAATGGAACTATGTACATTCACAAAAGTATACAACTGGACAGGGGAGAAAATACAATCTGGGTTCTTTGTTTCTGAGGACCGGGCCCAGACAGGTTATTTGAGAAATAGCCTCTTGAGATGTCTCACAGATGTCTGTGTTTATCTTTCAAATCAGTCCCTGCTGGTGGATCAAATCCTCTCAGTAAGGCTCATTTGAGGGATTGGCATCAAGATTGCAGGCCTGCTAGTTATAGAAAACGTCATCCTCGGACAGTGAGCTGCTGTCCACGTGTCTGACAGCAGCCTCTGCAGTGACAGTGCCTCTGTCCACCTGCAGGGGACGATCTCTGTCCTGGTGGCTATTGGACGTCGAGGAAATGGGGTCCACCGCTGGGGGAAAGACGAGGTTGGCCCCCCTGTTGTCGCCATAAGTCTGGGCGTGGATGTGGTACAGGTGCTGAGGAACGCTGAGACTTCCACCGTCCAGCAGGAACTGTGACAGGAAGTGGCTGTGTGTTGCTGAGGAGGGAAAATAACAGTGTCAGTCGAATGGTTGCTACTTGAAAAACTGTAGAAATCATTTTCCAAACAGCTGGGACCTTTTGGGTTGCAGAGGATTTAAAAGCTCTTCACTCTGATATATCATAGAAATAGCACTGATGCTCTCAGTGCTTGAATTGAATTTAAAAAAGTGACACCTATATGGAAGCAAACAAGAGACAAAAGTATTTGAATTTTATTAGACACTGAATTTATAGCATTGAAAATAATTACTTTGAAAATCATGTATCTGAATGTTTTTGCTCCGAATTTACCTATGTGAAATAAAAATGTAAAAATTAAAGTGAAAACAATTCGAATGTTCAAATTCAGATCCCAAAAATTCAAGTGAAAAAAATTCAACGTCAAAAAATTCGGTGTATAAAATTCGATGTCCAAAATTGCGATGCAGCATCATCCGGGCTACTCAGACAGGATAAGCAATCGAGCCCTAATGTAATCAAACCGACTTCTGGCCTATCAGAGCACGGCTTTGTCAGTCATGTGATCACAACAACCCGGGAGAAAAATGACGGAGAACAGTGGGGCTCGCCGCTCGGGTAAGTAGTCAGTTTGTGCTCTTTATTTTACAAGCAGTGAGGGCTCGACAGCATTTGTATCTTACATTAGCTAGCTAAATGAGTGAAGTAGCCTTGTGCCTTGCTGTTAGCAAGCTCCGTAGTTATCATTAATTGAAGTGAATCAGAACGTTACCGTGTCCTTTTGTGTGTGTGTGTGTGGGGGTGTGGGGGGGGGGGGGTAACGTAACGATCACTTCGGTTAGATAAGTCAAGTAGACCATGCTACACTATACGAAATACCCGGCCCTGAAACACCGTTGGTGTGAATGAGGTAAAAGCCCTGCATTTAAACATGTTAATGTTACTTTAGTAAAAGTATGCTAGTATAATTAGGAAAGTGTTGTTAAAGTATTTAAAGTAGACACAAGTTATACTATTATATTATATCATTTGATTTATTGTTATTACCGATGCACGAGTTGACTTAACTGTTGTCGTTGGAGCTTATTTTGAACAATGAGCTAACTAATTATTACTTTCATAATGGTTTAATGTGCTGACTATTTTCTACATTAATAGATTAAGGTCTGGTTTGTTCAAACTCTCAAAATAGTAGGACATGCTGTCATAATTACCCAGAGTCCGAAGTGACACCTTTACAATGTTAAAGCTGTTAGATAAATGTAGTGACGTAAAAACTAAAGTATTCAAGTTAGTGTAGTGGAAAAGAGATAATGTTTTTTTTTTTAAATGTTACCAAAACAAAATCTCTTGTTTTGGACTGACAGTAATGATTCAAGAAATAGTAGATAAATAAATACACACATCAATCTGTGTGCATTTGTTGTGGATGGAACACAACAAATGGTGCTCTTACCTGTGATGCCTCCTCCAAACATTATAACCAGACTGTATCATTCAAACTATAAGTAACAGTTATAGCTACTTGACTTTAGACAAACAATTCAAAAGACAAAATCAACACAATTTATTGAAAGACCAATCTTTATTTTACAGTGCCTCTCCTTTTGTTTGTATTATTAAACCCTGTCAATCTAAAAAACTGAGCAACTCAACAGTCAACTTTACATTTCTTATTGTCCAAAGCATCTATTACACTATTTGTCCCCTCTCATATTCACAGGATGGATGATTAGAGACTTTGGGGGAAACCTCAGCTTTATGAACGTCCTGTCTGTTGGTTTGGCCGGAGAGGGCTGAGGGTCTTTCCCTGCGAGGAGTCCTCCTCGCAGGGAAAGACCCTGCAGGCCTGAGGGAGGAGGAACAGACCTGATGGAGGAGGACCTGCACCAGCTGCACCTACAGAACTTAGCCCATGCTGGGCATAGCTGTTACCACCTGCACAGGCCTAGCCTGTCAATTAACAGATTAACATTTAGTGTAACTTATGTATATTATTTCGTTTTTATTTAAAAAAAAAATGGTGATGGTTCATGCTTGATAACTTTTAGTTCACATTTCAATCAATTGTATTTGCACTCCTTTTGTCCGTTATTCTTACTGAAAATGTTAAATTACACATTCACATCCGACTGAAGATTGGCCCCATTTATTTATGACGTTGCAAACTCGGCGGTACAAGGCACAAGTATTATGAAGCTCATAAAGTGAGGCAAATGCATTTGATCAGCTGACTTTTTTTTTTTTGCCAAACTTTATAGGCCTGACAATAATCACACTGTCTGAGGTGCAACGTAAAACACAAAACAACACAAATGAAGTTCCTGTTAGACTACAAAACTAGTCAGTGTGCAGGTCTTTGTGTTACAATATAAGTGTCTCTTAGTGAATGTCCTGTACTGCTCTTAAATCTCATAACATCAGCTTTTCCTTTCCTTCTTGGATGTTCTTCTGGATCCTCAGAGAAAGAGAACATGGTGAAGCAGTCCTGTCTCTCAGGCATGTCCTTTCCTAACAGAAATATCAAAAAACATATTATTGCAGAGCAAGTGTGTTATTTAAGATAGGTGTGTTTGTTTGTTCAGGGGCTATATTTGAATGTGTTTTTTTAAATCCAACAGTGTACTACAGACAGTGCATGACATTAAGGAATTTGGGAGATGGCCCTGTGGACCATCTAAGCTAATTTACAGATGGCCCTGAGCCCAATAGAGATTGCCCTGAAAAATGCACACGGACGTAATGACGCACGAAGGGTTTGGGGGGCCTCCCCCTAGAACAGTGCTTCTCAAAGTGTGGTCCACGGACCACTGGTGGTCCGTGAGCGCCCCCTAGTGGTCCGTGAGTATATTGGTAACATTTCACATTTGAAATAAATACATTTATTTCGCACTCTCCTGGGAATATTTCCGCAATGGAACGAGCTTAAGTTTCACTTTCGATTGCATGATAAAGCCCAGATAAACACCTTCATCACACATGTTGCCACTTGTTTGTACCATTTTCAGGCGATTTGTAAAAAACGATGTGTTTTTGGATATTTGTGGAGTTAGGTGGTCCGCGAGTGTTTTTTTATTGGTTAAGTGGTCCTTGGTATGAAAAAGTTTGAGAAACACTGCCCTAGAACATTTAGATTTTTGCAGATCTTAGATGCTGTCTGGTGCATTCTCTAGACTGAATTATAAGATGAAGCACCACAATATTGTATTGTACAATTTCAATTGTATTCTTCATTTCACTTGTTTGTTCTTGTTTGTGTTTGCTCGCTTGCATGCCCTGCATAGCTATAAGAAACACTTAAGTTGTTGGTCAAGACACTTTCCATCTGATGAAGGCAAATGCCTTCCCAGATGTAAAAAAGTAGAAAACATTACATTCAGTTATAACTGCCAAAACAAACATTATTTACACTAGTATGGCCCCTGTTA